TATAATTTGAAGAAGAAAAATGCACATTAGGCCTAATGTCTGAAGTGAGCAAGCAGCAATAGGCCTAATGATAATTTAAAATATAATTTGAAGAAGAGTTTCTTTCACAAAATGAGTATTATATATATATGTATAACTATAAAATATAGGCTACTCAATTTTTCTCCCTCTTGCAGGCACTCATGTCACTTCCATTTCTTTCTGGATAAATGCATGAATTCACGTGTTGTAAATCAGTCTGTAGGCCAATAGCGCACACAGCCCCTAAATTTAGCGATCAACTATGCATATTATAAATTTAACATTTAACATACACCATTTTTTTCTATTAAATGATTTTGTTTTTGTTATTCTTATAAAGTATGGTAGCACAGCATTTTTGAATGATTGTCTTCATGAGTTTGTCTGCATCCATATTGCATGTTTCCTCTCACTTGCAAAGTATGCTTGCAGTAATTTCTTCGAGTTCTTTCAAAGCAGTTCTTTCTGCGTTTCCGCTCACATATTTTTAATCTATAATAGAGAACATTACATATATCAAAGGTATGAAATTATGTATGTAATAAGATTACAATTATAAATAATAACACGTAAGACATCTCAGTATGTAAAACCATGTGATTTTATTTTACAGTATGTACATAGACACAAAATGAAAATTAATTCCATAACGTATTACCTTGTCAATTACGGACAAACAAACTAGAGAAATGAGGGAGAATGTTTTTCTTTTCTTATGATGGAACTTCCTTTACTTTTAACAACAGTTCTGAGCGTGATGTAATGCCAGTCCACGTTGCTGAACGTTTACAGCAATTTACAAATTCCAAAATAATCTTCTAAATAGTGTGTACAGCACTCAAATTACAAACAAACACAACTGATGTAGACAGTGACGTCATCCACATAACAAACCTGTGAACTCAGTCTTGCGCTGATGATGTACGGGGCAACTTTTTGTCAGCAATGTTTCCTGGGCACTTTCCCACTGAGAATGGGTAACAAATTTCTATCTGGATACTTCAGATTGTTCATGGGCCCTGTGTCTCACCTGGTTACCCGTTGACGGCAACATTGCTCAAAAAGTTGCCCCGTGTATCATCAGCCTTGCAGTCTGATTGATTTAAAACCATGTAAGGATATCCAAATAATTTATTGCTTATTAGGGTTATACATGTACACATTTACAAAAAAAAAAGAGTGAATATATTTATATATGTTATTATCGGCATGGTTTGAAACATACACTTACATATACAGTACACATCAACATTTTAATAACCTTGTGCAAACTGAGTGAGTGCATACCACAGAGTTAAAAACAATTACAAGGGCCACTGAATTAAAAGTTGCTCAATAAAACACCATTTGGCTTTACGTAAAAAAGATTAGGTTGTACAATAAAATCAAACAAATAAAAACAGCAATGTTAAGAAGGCAAGTCTTGGAAAGATGGGCACTTCAGCTTTATGATTCCTAAACTACTGCATATAACAAAACTGATCTGGCCATAGAGGTCATTTAAAGTAGTACCCAGCATCTCACAGTCCTTTACAGCAGCCAATGCTGCCACAAACCTGTACAACATAAATGTGCTTATATCTACACAACCAATACAAAGAGTACGACTTAACAATACTATGTCTGTGTGTACATGAATTAAATGTGTCTTCAAGCACTTGTGTGGTTAGCGTCAAATGTGAGTAGTGGCCAAAAACAAAACACACACACACACACACACACAAAAAAAAACAAGTCTTGCTTGGGGAAAAAAAGAGCATGTGTTTATGTGTGTGTTTCAGGTAAAAAATAAATTAAAACTGCTAGAAGCCAAACCAAAACAAGGCCTCTAAAACAGGTAAGGGTGAAAGTGCATACTGTAGTACTGTAGTATATCATGTGGTTACGGCCCGTCTTTTCTCTACTCTGAGATCTTTATATCCATTCAAGTGTTCCTCTGTGCTCTCAGCGGTTAAACAACAGCATATCTGCGGTTCTTCTGAGATGTGGCCATCTCATCGGGCTACATGAAATGAAAGGCTCTTGGAACATTGCATACCGGCATGTAGTGTTTTTGTCCCATGATGCATTGCGGTCAGTAGCTGTTTTCGTGGCCTGCGAGGATGTAGAGATTGCTGTGTGCTGTGGGGTTGTCTGTTGGTTGGCTTTCCAAAACCACCACTCTATAAAAAACGACATAAAAACAAATACAGATGACCTACGTTATAAAATATGGATTGGCACACCAATAATAAAGTGTATGATATTATTTACATAATGACTAATTAGACTGCTTCTTCTCACCTGTCTGAACCTAGCAGCCTGAATATCCTGGAGTTGTCAGAAATCTCCTGTGTAATCTGGGATGTAAAATGTGGACAGAATAATGGGTTTGCACAATATGTATGTCATTTCATTTGTTTATATGATACCCTAGTTTTTTGTTTTTCTTACACTACTCTCTGTGTGACTCTGATTTGATTATATTTAAAATACTATATATTTTACAATAACAAAAATACTGTGTTAAATGTTCACTGTTGCAGACTATAGTAAAAAAAAATATGATAATGATATGATATATAGGAAGATTATTGTGTATATATTGTACATTTATGTATATACATTTGATATTTTAAATTGTATAAAAATACACTCACTATTGTATGTACAGTGGGGAAAAAAAGTATTTAGTCAGCCACCAATTGTGCAAGTTCTCCCACTTAAAAAGATGAGAGAGGCCTGTAATTTTCATCATAGGTATACCTCAACTAGGAGAGACAAAATAAGAAAAAAAATCCAGAAAATCACATTGTAGGATTTTTAAAGAATTTATTTGCAAATTATGGTGGAAAATAAGTATTTGGTCAATAACAAAATTTCATCTCAATACTTTGTTATATACACTTTGTTGGCAATGACAGAGGTCAAACATTTTCTGTAAGTCTTCACAAGGTTTTCACACACAGTTGCTGGTATTTTGGCCCATTCCTCCATGCAGATCTATAATTTATATACTTTATATTGCAATATTCATGTAATGTTTGTTTCTGTCAGGGTTTTTTGTGATATTATAGACAGGCTGTCTGTATATTATCTCTCACATTTACAGTATACAGCAGGACTTGCCTCATTGGACTTGAAGCTGCGTCCTTGCATGCCATGCCTCCAGAAGGCCAACACACTGTCTTGAAGGCAAACTAAGAGGGATAGATAGATGCAGAGCATGAGAGAGTTATTAAAACAGAGATTTAAATCAATTTTAAAAAATAAATTAAACCTTTTGCCCATACAAAAGAGTTAAATATGACTAAAGGCTAACTGCTAAATTCAGTGGGCTTAGAAAATGGAGATATATGCACTTGAAGCCACCGTTAATGTACCAAGGCCTCATACCTATTGATTCAATTTGGAAGTTAAAAGTCAGTTCTGCTGAGAGTTTCCGACTGGACTTCAACCGACCTTGCAAATTTACAATCTTAATGCACCCTTGAGAGGAAGAAGAAAAACAATTAATATATATCTGTTATATATATATATATATATATATATATATATATATATATAGACGGAAGTATAAATAAGATTTATGATGTCTAATTAGTTTGTCCTAGAGGGATAAAGTCACACTACGGAAAATTTACCAGTTGTGTGCATGACTAACAAATTAAGAATTCTGCTCTGGTGCAAGTCTGTGCTTGTCACGGAGGGGGAAAATATATCAAGCCTTTCAATATGCACTGTGCTCTTTTTGCCATGACGACAGAATGCAATACTGCAACGTCAGATCTGACACATTTAAATCATTCTGAGCTGTCTTCCAAGGAACAGCAGTGTTTCCGTATGCAAATGTTCTGGTTATATAAATCTGGTAACTAATAATTATTTATACAGTGTTAGAAATATAATTATTTAGACAAAATAGGAACTTGTTAAATTATTCAAGATCTATTCCCATGTGTCATTCAATTTGATTTGTTACCTAAAAAAGTACCAAACATTCCATTGCAATATGTTTTTTGGACATGTAATTCTTTAAGGAATTGCCTTGCAAAGAAAGTAAATATACTTCATATTTATTGTAGTTCAATTATTGATGGTCTTTTTCAGGATATTCTCTGTGCTCTCTGCCATTCTATACCTGGGAAATGTGATGTATGAGCCAAAAGTTGTTGGCGAGGGGCTCGATCTAAGCAGACTAAAATTGTATCTCTCTCCAGCTGGGTCACATGGATCACGCAGTTCTGTGGGGTATCTGAAATAACAACAATAATTTCTAGAATTTTGCATATCTCAAATAAAAAATAAAATAAAATAAAATAAAATATATAAATTGAAAAAAAAAAAAAAAAAAGCTAAAGCCCCGTTTCCACCGCAGGAATTTGGGCCGGTACTCGGTGTGTTTCCACCGCAGGAACCAGGATGTAAATAAAGTTCTGTGTAAAAAATTGCCCCTCAGAAAGTCCCTGATCGCGAGGTAGTACTTTTTCAAAGGTCTGGAACTTTCGGGGGCGGGACTTGGGCGCTAAACATGCTGATTGGTTGAGTTCATGCAGCATTGTATTTCAACCACCATTTATTTGGATAATTTTCAAAATATACTGTTATTGTGTCATGAAATGTAGTTCTAAAAGTATTTCAAGTGAGAAAGTAGTTGTTTAATACTCAAATCTGCAGTTTATTTATAAAGAGCGCCTATTTAAAAATGTGTTTCGCCGATTTCGGAGACATGAGCTCCACGCGATCAGCGGGTGCTCAGTGCTCATGTTTCCCGACGAGAGCAGCCTCAACTCAGCTAGTCCTTCTGACATTTGCCGCTGGCTCTAATGTCTCTGTAGTGGTTAAACATAAGGTATAATTAGTTTTGGGTAAATCTAACAGGTAATCTTTGGTTTTTATTCTATGAATCTATTAATATGTTAAAATGAAAATAAAAAGAGGCAATACTGTTTGATATAATATTTCGTTTCATTGTAATGTAGGCTATATACATTCCCTGAACTACATTTCTGCGGCTATTAATATAAGTTTAAATGAAAACAAAAGGAGGCAGTGGTGTTTGATATTATATTTCGTCTTATTGTAAATACAGTGAGGAAAATTGCATCAGCCAAGGCGAGCTGACTGATGTTATAAAGTACGCTGCTGTTTGCAGAATTACCGGACTTACGTCGTCCCGTCCGCGGGAGTTCACACTCCCGAGTCGAACTCTCTACCGAGGATGCAAGTCCAAAATTTGCATACTTGTTATTGAGAAACGCGCGCAGACCTACGTCACTAGACTATTAGCCTAATCTTCACGGTACTTTAGACCGCGATGGAAACGCAGACAGCAACAGGTCTGGGGACAAATTGTTCCAGGTAATTTCGGTGGAAAAGCGGCTTAATTTAAGTGAAAATAAAGAGACATTTTATATAAACAGATTATAAATAAACAATTGCAAAAACACTCTATTTCTTCAGAATATCCATGAGCTACAACTGATCGTATCGTGTAAACCTGCTCATAACTACTCACTAAAGATCTGAAACAATTGCAAAAACAATTTATTAAATAAATATTTGTTAAAACATTTCAAGCTATTACATTAAGAGATAATGGTGTCATGTTTTAAAGTACCCACCAGAATCAAACCAGTTGGAGGTAGAGTTGGGGTTGAGGGTCTCAAACCGCACCACCTGGTTGAGCTCTGTCCCTTTGCTCACAGCTATGCAGATGAGAGGATACTGATGTTCTGGAACCACCAGCATCTCAAATACCTCCAGCGGACACGGCAGGGGGAAGTCTATGCTCTGCAGGGAATGAGTCGGTGCTTAATTTGGAACAGCGTGCGTTTGAAAATGCCAAGTAAAGCAATTTTAATTACAAGTCTTAAGAAGAAGATCAGCCATTTTAGAAGCTTAAAGGAGGCATGAATAGCTAATGTGGCCTACGTGCTACATGCTGTTTCCAAAACCTTGAGTCAAACACATCTCCTATGGATTTTAGTGTAATGCTAATCCGCATAGCACTCGGTAACAAACCCTATGCCATTGCACCCTCTGGAGGTCACATATGTCGGCCACATATTTAATTGAGGATGCCTTGTAATAACCATTATGCAAATTGACTGTAATTCATTGTGTCTTACCTACTTTCCCACTGAAACGAGGCAGCCTCAATAGCTATGTTTCCATCCACCTACTTTTTGGGGTATCGCATAAAAAATGCTGGATGGAAATGCCAAGATGCGCATAAATTCTAAAAATGCTTAACTCCCAGAACTGCATTACTAAACAGCAGGCTCCGACAATAAGATAACATGATCGCGTTTCGTCTGCGTGCTCTTAAACTTGCAATTTATTGTATTAAAAAAATATTATATACAGTGCCTTCTCCTATACTGCAACAAATGAACTTTTTCTTCATGATATTTAGCGCAAGTTAATCAGAAAGTGACGATTTTGTTCTCTTCAACTCATTGGATGGAAATGGTGCACAAATGTTTAATGCGATAATACAATTTTGCGCATAAGTTTAATTCGTAACTTTGGATGGAAACATAGCTAATGACACATGCGGCCCACGAATGCAACCTGCAGAGGGCACAGCCTTCAAAATAAGACACAGCTGTTGTTTTGATGATGGGAACCAGTAGGCCTGGGCGATAAAACGGTATCGATATTTATCGACAGTACACCTTCTACGATAACAATATAAAAACGCACGATATAGGCACGTGCTGAGTGACGCAGACAGCACACACAAACATGAACAGATGCTGAATTGAGTGCTGTGCCTGCCTGTGATGAGGAGATTGTGAATAAAAAAATTTATATTAGTCGAATTTAAAATAAACATTTGCATTTGAATGTTAGGAGTGCATCAGGGAGCATCATCAGTGGTGCACGAGATGTGGTGATAATGATGTAAGCGATGTTGCATTTTAATGTTTTGTTAGTCTAGCCCACGAGACGCGCCGCTGTTGCATTATGCATTCCAAATATTAGAGAAATAGAAGCTCAGTGCGGAGAAGATGATTGATTAGGTGAAAACCGAAACCAAGCCATTCACACAGATGCATATTCAGCGCATTTTGACGGACAAATATGACTGCTGCACTCGCGTCTCACACAAGAGATGTAGCCATTCAAAGTTAAAATAGTTTAAACTTTTAGAAAACACTTCTCGAATTTGTGGAGGTTTATTCCTTTTCACTGCGTCTCTTATGTTTTTAAACGCAATCTGCATGATGGGCGATTCGGCTCTTTGGATTAAGCAATCATAAATACATGATGCTGTTTTGTTCATAACTGTTTATGCAATTTACGAAATGTAATTTAATTTATATGAGTTAATTTAGATGTAATGCAGGTTTTTTTATAGACAGTTATTTCCTTGCGTTGACAATTTAAATGTGCTGCATTATTTTGCTCATTGCGCCCTCCTGTGGCCTCGGGAGACAAGCCAAAAGTTTCCTTAAAACCTAGTTAATCTGCATATAAAACATTAGAAATGAGATATTTGTTTAATTTTTATTGTGTGTTTGACTGTTAAAACAAAAAATATTTGTTTGTCTCAATAAATTGGGTTAATTTAAAAATACAATGGTTAAATTAAAAAAAAAAATTCTATTGCTCTTTTTTTTTTAAAAAGTTATAAAAAATGTCAATAATTATCGATACTGAACGATATGAAACATTATATCATTGATAAATTTTTTAGCTATATCGCCCAGCCCTAGGAACCAGTGACTTACCTTGACCAACATGAATTTCTGCATGGACTCCACCCACTCAAACAGGACAACACTGGACTGAAAGGCACCGCACAGGTACTTGTGACCAGTATATGGATTCCTCACTGAGAATAAACAAGACAACGAATGGAAACAAAACACAATATAAAACCTTAAATAAAGTCTGTTTGATCATATCATCAAAGTTATCTGAATTAAACCGTTGCTTCAAATGTTTGTGGAAACTGAGATACACTATAATTTAAAAGCTTTGAAAAAAAGGTACGTTCATTCAACAAGGATGCATTAAATTGATGAAAAGAGACAGCAAAGACATTTTTTAATGTTATAAAAGATTTCTATTTCAAATAAATGCATTTCTGTGTTTCCACAAAAACCTGAAGCAGTTTTTAAATGCTGGATGCATTAACTGTTTTCAGCACAGATAATAACGAATGTTTCTAGAGCTCCAAATCAGCATATTACAATGATTTCTGAATGATGAGCTTTTAGCTTTACCATCTCAGGAATAAATTAAATTTTTTAATATATTTAAATTGAAAACAGGTATTTTAAATTCCCAATATTACTGTATTTTTTATCAAATAAACGCAGCCTTTTTTCAAATATATATTAAAAGATCTTCATTTTTTACAAACTTCTGCCAATGTATACAAAGCTCCTGTATATTCAGAAATACAGAAAGGAAGGAAATGACGGGATCTGCTCACCTACACAGCACTTTTGACACCCTTTTGTTTCAGGGATCTTAGTGGACACTGAGAATTTCCTGAAATTAAAATAAAAATGTAAAATGGAGTATTTACATTTTGACTACTGGTCACATCCTTAAGCTCACACAGAGATCTGAACATTTACCTGGGTATTATTTTGTCAGGCAATTTATGTGTTGGTATGGCAACAGGGAGTTTCTGCATTTGTCGAGCATGTTCAAATAGGCCCATCAGACTGTGAGAGTACAGATGACATGCTTTACCTGCCAAAAAACAATTTATTAATTTTTAATTATGAATTAATTATTCAAAACAGGGATACAGGACTATGTCAGGTAACGTTTCAACATATATGACATGCTACAACAGTTCACTATTTCAATATTATCACATTACAAGCAGTTCTACTCTGTAAAGCGTGACACAAAAATAAAAATATAACACTAAAAATTGTAGCATTCATAAAAAAAAAGAAACTCACTCCGACTAATCTGTAATCTGAAAAGCTAAACCTGATTTTTTTTTAAGCATAGCTTACCGGATATTGATAGCAGGCTGTTGCTCATGACATACAGCCAAGTACATCTCCTGGGGAAAAGCTGAGAATGACACAAAAATAGCTTTAGCACAAGACAAAAGCACACCACACTGAGGCAATATAAGGATATACTTCACACAAACTGAGTTTTCCAGACACATTTAAAAATGTTTTGCTACTGTTATGTAGGAAAACTAAACATCTGTTTGAAAATATCTGAAAAGTAACATCACACCTGTTCCATGGACGTCTCGTGCAGCTCATTAAGGTTTAATGTGTAAATACCTTCCTCTGCTCCAAATATCAGATACTGGTCTGAAATGCATGAACGGGGAAGAACAAAACAGACTGAGAGGCGAAATCAGCAAATCATTCTGTAGGCAATATTAATAGATATAATAATGAACCATCATATATTAACATTTAATATATGGGCAGATTATCTTAACAAGCTCACCTCGTGTGTCTGGGTTGATCCATGAGGTAGCGCAGTGTATTTTTAATGGGCAGCCATTGAAGACTTTTGAGAAACATGCTCCCATCTGGACATGGAAATACAACACATTGGATAACTCGGATGCAGCCAAGTAAATCACTGCTCAAAAAGTTTATACACAAAAAAACAAACAACGCTATCAATAAGACAACATCCATCAATTTAAATAAAAATACAAGTAATTAAGTCCCAGTAGAGTGCCATAGATCTGCAGAGTGAGTAAACCATGATGTCCACTTACATGAACCTTTGGAGTTGGTGGGAGACCATTGCTGATGGGTTTCTGTGGGGAAAAAACAAAACAAAGAATAAACATCAAATTAAAACAAAATAAGTTTCACTATATAAATTTCACTATCTATCTATAGATAGATAGATAGATAGATAGATTAATTATATGTAATAATATTAATATTATTATTGCCACATATAATTATATTACATTATTAAAAATAAAACAATTGTATCGTATGTATTATTGTTTTTATTATTATATCATGTAATCAATATTATGTCAAATTTAAACAATTTATTTTATAAATAATTAAACACAGTAATAACAATAACAATATATTATTAAATAAAATAATAAAATGTACATAAACAATAAAAGTCAAAAATGATTCAATATGATTGTATGTGATAATAAAAATATGCAATAGTAATATATATTTACATATGTATTTATATATATATATATATATATACACACACACACACGTTACACAATAATTATATTAGTATTAAATAATAATTAATCAAATTAATAATAACTATTTCTTCAAATATCTGATCACTAAATATATTAATTATGTGCATTAAAAAGTGAAGAGTATTCACGAGAGATTTAAGAGTATTAAAATATTAAATTATTAAAAAAAAAAAAATTTGCACTCAGCAAACATAAATTCTTCCTCCAGGAGCCATAAGTGTTACAAGACACAATATTGGAATGCACTAAAACGAAGCCATACTGGCAAATCTTTCTTGTCCTTTGGTATAGGAACAGCAGGGGGCATTGTGGACTGTCTCTCTGTTGAGGGCGAGTGTTCAGATGGGCTAATTCCATTGCCTGTGGGTAAGAAAAGATACAACAAACAGTTTAGTTTTCGGTTTATAAGTCTTAACACTGTTTTCACATAGGTATCTAGCAAGAGGTGCACACGAATCACATGTGTAAAGAAAATGTTCTTTTTATCTACATTCAGTTAAGAAGTTTAGCATTAGCAGCATTGTTTACTAAGCTGCTGTTGCGATTTGAAGCTACCATACTACAACACAACAAAAACTAGACACGCGTAATGAACCAAAAATGATGATTGCAACATTAACTGACAGGAGAACAATAATTTGACAAGGAAAAGAATACAAGGGTGGAGTGGGTGACTCATGATGTCTTCAAGTGGGTGTGTGACATTTTCACATGCCAACACTACTGACGTAATTTCTCTTAGAAAGGGCAAGAGGAAAGAATGACATGTAATCTCACTACGGGCTAACTAAAGAAACTAACAATGGGATGGATTGGTGACAGGATTGGTGACTGGGGTTGAACCAAGTTTAAATGGGAGGGCCTGTCTTACTGTCTCCTTCCTCATCACAATCTTCCTCTTCGTCATAGGAGACCTGCAGCCTTTCGTCGAACTGACTACATATCCCAGCATCCCCCTGGGTTTCCCAAGGGCCATGTTCTTCCCGATTGGTCTCATTACCTAAACTGCTGAGCTGGTTTGCGGGCAGTCGAGGAGGTGGAGGTCGAGGGGGTACATTGATGGATGATCGAGCCGGGCTTTCGGGCCCCGGGCAGCGCTTTATAGTGCCCTGGTTACCGTCATGGTCACCGGAGGGGCTTTGATGTGGTCCGGGACTGGGCTTTGGCTGGAAATGTCAGAACAAAATTAGCAGCACGCTACCCTGTCAGATCAATACTGTGATTACTAAAAAAAAAAAAAGTGGATGCAAAAAAAAAACTGTAGCTGTTCACTGATTTCTGATAAGCTTGTTTCAAGGCAAAAGAAGGACTTGGATGCTCAAAATAAATCTGCTAAATCAAAGAAACTCCTAAACACACACTACGGTTCATAAGTTCAAGGTTGGCAAGATTTTTTTTTATGTTTTAAAAAGAAGTCTCTTATGCTCACCAAGACTGGATTTATTTGAACAAAAATGCAGTAAAAAGTGATATTGTGAAATATTATTACAATTTAAAATAACTGTTTTCTATTTTAACATTTTAAAATATAATTTATTCCTGGGATGGAAAAGCTGAATTTTCAGATGTCATTAGTCTTTTAGTGTCACATAATCCTTTAGAAATTACTCTACTATGCTGATATGATGCTCAAGAAACATTTATTATTATTGGTCGAAGACATTGATAAATATAAAGGTCAAAATTCAGTAAAATTCTTTACCGTCACGTTTAATCAATTTAATGCACCTATGCGGAATAAAAGCAATAAAAAATCTTACTGAATTCAAACCTTTGAAAGCTACTGTATCTTTTCAACACTAAAAAGGCTTATTATAAAACCACATTTTTATATATATTAAAACTTTTTTGTATTCTTACTTTGGGAGGAAGCGGTGGTGGGACCTTAGGCCTCATAGTGGAGCTTTTTGTGCTGAAACAAATCAGAAATCCAATTAGATGAGTCACAATGCTAATCATGTATGCTAATTATGCTACAACTAACAAACATAATTTAGGCCATTAACAGGATGTTAATGGACCTTTGTAGTTGTTTCATCAGATACTGGACCAACAGGGGTACAATATAGGACAGGAAACAGACAACAAACAAACATGCAATCAAATGCGCCAGGAATAATTCACTCTATAATGAAAATGCTGTTTTTATTTACTCACCCTCATGGTATTTCAAACCTGTATGCTGTTATTGTTTTCCGTGAAAAACAAAAGGAGATTTTTTTAAAGAATGGAATACAGTGCACAAGTCATACTGACTACTTACATGGTGCTTCATTGTGTTGTTTTGGTAGTCGCTAATAACAGCATTCAGTTTGGAACAGGGGGATGAATAAATAATGGCAACATTTTGATTTTTGAGTGATCTATTCCTTTAAATATAGAAGAAAGCTTGTCAGCATCACTAAGAGAGGACGCTATGAATTTCATGGTAGTAGTTCACTTGCATTTGAACCTGGAAAAATATTGCTAAAGAGGTAGTTGGATAAACCTCAACATTCTAAAACGCCTTCTAGCCATGACATTGCTAAATGAAGGGAAAAAGAGATGGTGTGTCTAGTAAGAAAAGAAAACAGATGATAGAATGATTCCCATGGAACTAAAAAGGTCATCATACACTGGCAACATTTTTGGGGGACATTGAAAAACCATATTTGATTCAAAAGAAATATTAATGTGTCAACTATATACGTGTATATATATATATATATATATATATATACATACATGTCTCACAGGAGCTTGAATTCTTGCCAAACAGTTGCCAGTGTATCATGATCTTTAAGTGTTTTAACCTCTAGAGCAGCAAGAAGGGATTGGCTACAGAATCAGAGGAACTTACTGTTGCAATTCATCATCATGATCATCACCATCATCTTCACCCTCATCATCATCCTCCAAATGAGCCTCATGCCCCCTAATGAGGATTGAGAAGGTTGCGGCACTCATTCATTGAGGATTATTAACTTGAAGCAACACTTTCCTCGACTTCCCATGGGTAAGATTTAAAGGTTAACGGGTCATTCACACAGGACATTCTGAGTTGTAATTGTTAGTCTATGTAAATACACACTAACTACGCTCTTTGTGTGACCTTTGTGATATATATCGCTGTTTTTTTCAGCATCTCATGCTATGAGCATCATATTTTTAAGACACCATGCAAAGAAAGTTAAATTTTTTTGTCTCAATTTTCCAATTCACTATGTTAGTTGTTTTTGAATGAAAGAGCATGTCCTGTATGAACGAGCCCATATATATTAAAAGAAATTGTGATTTCAAAGTGAACATTTAGGTACACACTTACTACATGAATATATAATCCAGCAATTCAGGATGTTTTAGTGACATTCCCTTTAAAGATGGCCAACATAGTGTGACTTTAATAACAGGACGATCCCAAAGACCAATCTAGACATGCATCTGGAGTAAATTTCATTTAGAGAGACTGGTTAATTTCCCCCTGAGGAATGGAAAACTAATACTGTGGCAAAAATAACACAGATCTAAAACACAGCATTGCCAAGCAAATCAGCCTTTGGTTCCACTCAGACAAGCACAAAAGGGCAAGGTTAGGTCACATCAAATATTGATCAGATGAAAAACCAGCTATGCAGAGAGAGAGTGAGAGAGGGAGATGTACGGGTAGAGTTTGACAGAGCAGCAAAAAGATGGAAAGATAGAGAGAGAGGAAAAAAAAAAGCTAATGAACGAGCACAGGAGTGAAGGACACAAACAAAGCAACGGCATCATACCTCTGATGCAGCTCCTCTTCAACAGATTTCAAGAGGCTCCTATAAAAAAAGAATTTATCAAAAGCGAGATGGTACATAAACAGGTGATTCCTTCAATGCAAAGCACATGTAAAAACACATGATGAACAGTTTTATAACACATCAAGGGACCCATTAAACCTCATTGATTTAAGGCTAAATAAACAAGCATTTACTGCTAATTTGTCTCCAGTGACACTGAGAAACCGTCCAATGTTTAGTTGTTAATTTTTCAGAGAATGTCTGCTTCCAACTGTCTGGAACCTCTGTTCAAAGTTGTTTATCTACACTGCACTTAAATTATTGAACAGTAAGGTTTTCTGGACTAAAAGGGATTTAAAATAAAATAAAAATCAGTAGATAAAACTAGCTTCACATTTCCTCAAGAAAATATAGCTGCAAACAGTGATGACGGGCCCAAGTTCTGGGGTGTCTGGACAATTCACTTTAAAGAAAGTAGAAAATTACGGTTTCCTTTTTTAACGTTACTTTAATAAAGCGCTATTGTAACACAGTTCACGATATACAGAAAAAACAATCATAATTTAGCATCTTCCATATCTTGGCATCATGTTGACACAGTTTGTGTGAATTGCATGAATCCCCTAGGAGGAGTATGCAATAACACACAGTCTGATTAAAAAAAAATCCATATTCAAACCGAAATAGCCAACTTTCTGTTGGCTGTAGTTAATGATTGTAAATTAGAAAGTTGTCTGCCTTAATGAGAACAATATATGTACTGAGTTTGGTGACTGTAGGAAAAAGTAACTCCGACCCCCACACTTTTGTCAAAAGGCGGCGCTATAGAGGCACCACCGTGGCGCTCATTTATGGGCTTTTGCCAGTGTCTAATGGTTGAAAACGCTAATGTGTTTGTCTCAATTTAAGTGCCTCAAAAACACCTGAAAAGAATATTATACAAGTTTGATGCGTTGAAGATATCAAGAATCCCTTGATCCCCAGTTTTGCATCTGCCTTGTTCTGACATTATTCTGATGTAGTCTGAAGTAAATCAGGAAAAATAAGATGCAGATTTCAAAGCATTTTGAAAATGACACTTCCTGCTGCCAGTTGGTGGTGCTATAACTTTTGACTCATAATAGTCACATCTATGGCCTTTTTTCAAACGGCACACTTCATGTGCACTTGCGGCCTTGTGGACTTACAATGGCTGCCGCATGCGTGCGCCCATTAAGTCAGCGAGACTGTAGGATGTCCCATTCATCATTTTAGTGTTCAGAAGGGTGCTTGCGAGTGCCTCCTTTATGGACGCTATGCGCCCTCCATGCACACTTATGCCAAGCCCACACTGAAGCAAGCTCCGCAGCAGACTTCTACCCGACAGTCAAAGCGGCATTGTGTCACAAAAGTGTGCACTCAGAAGAAGACAAGTGTTTAGGGTGAGATTTGAAATGGGGCCTTTGTGATTGGCTTCATACAATGAACAGGCTGCTGAAGTTTAATCAAAATCAGACATGTATGCATAAGTTATTAGACACTTCCTGTTTCCCTTTCTTCACAATAACTTTGTTGCCTCTCCACAACCAAACCATTCGAGATATCAAAAGTTCTTTAGGAATTTAACATCTTCAGTGTCTTGAGATCATGTCAACCGAGTTTGGTGGCAATCAGATGAAAAACCTAGTATATCAAATTTCTAAGCATGTGTTTTTCACAAAACCCAAAATAGCTGACTTTCTGTTGGGTGGAGCTAATGACATGCAGTGTGAAAGTTGTTCGGCTCAATGAGATCTATATGTGTACTGAATTTCATATGTATGCATGCAATTATGTATGATATTTGGCCCTCTGCATTCCAGGGGGCGCTGTAGAGACCCCTTGCCATGCCCGTGAACCAGTCTCTGGCCAGCCCTAATGGTCACAAACTCCAAGGTGTGTGCCAATTTTCAATAGTTTTTGAGCATGTTAAGAGCCCCAAAAGCCCCAACAAACTTGAACAAAAATTAGAACAAGAATAATCCTTTGAAAAACAATAGGGCCCTTCGCCAATTATGCAGTTCTTATAAAATCACTAAAAACATGCTATTATAGCGATATTAGACGATAGCCACCCTAAACACGAGAATTACATTTCTGTGCACCATGTGCTAGAGAAAATACCATGATGGATTTCTCCATCATAAAGCTCGATGCATCGATTACAAACCCTGACGATGCATATGCATCGATCTTGAAACATTGATTTTTGAATCGAATGAATCGCAATTTCTATAGCGATTCAATGTTTTCAAAATATATACACATTAAATTACTACAAGTACGAATTAATGGAGACCTTGAACAGTGTTCGTGCCCTCGCATTTCTCATTCACGCGCTCCTCTATTTACCGCCTTTGACTGTCACATGATTGTGCTCGCTCTCCGTTCGTCTCACTGACACATTTTTTGAGCAGCTGATGTGTGAACTCTCCTTAGTACTCGTGGCCAGTAATGCTAAAGTGAAGTAGTTTTGCTTTTCTGTAGTTTTATTCACGCGCTCCTCTATTTACCGCCTTTGACTGTCACATGATTGCGCTCGCTCTCCGTTCGTCTCACTGACACATTTTTTGAGCAGCTGATGTGTGAACTCTCCTTAGTACTCGTGGCCAGTAATGCTAAAGTGAAGTAGTTTTGCTTTTCTGTAGTTTTTCAATGGCTCTCTCGGTCATACCGACGACATTACCTGAGCAGTCGAAGGCTGCGCATTTATTGCATGGACGGAGCAAAAATGTAAGTGTCTAAAGCATACGCGCAGATCCATTGAATAATAAATGTGTTTTAATAATGTCATTGAACCGAATGTACAAAGAAAACTGTTAAAATAACCACAGCATTAACAACAACCTTGAAATAAGAGCGTGAGACGTGCCAGACTATATCTGCAGCTAAGCTGAATAAAAAGCAGAATTGCCTCTCCACAACCAAACCATTCGAGATATCAAAAGTTCTTTAGGAATTTAACATCTTCAGTGTCTTGAGATCATGTCAACCGAGTTTGGTGGCAATCAGATGAAAAACCTAGTATATCAAATTTCTAAGCATGTGTTTTTCACAAAACCCAAAATAGCTGACTTTCTGTTGGGTGGAGCTAATGACATGCAGTGTGAAAGTTGTTCGGCTCAATGAGATCTATATGTGTACTGAATTTCATATGTATGCATGCAATTATGTATGATATTTGGCCCTCTGCATTCCAGGGGGCGCTGTAGAGACCCCTTGCCATGCCCGTGAACCAGTCTCTGGCCAGCCCTAATGGTCACAAACTCCAAGGTGTGTGCCAATTTTCAATAGTTTTTGAGCATGTTAAGAGCCCCAAAAGCCCCAACAAACTTGAACAAAAATTAGAACAAGAATAATCCTTTGAAAAACAATAGGGCCCTTCGCCAATTATGCAGTTCTTATAAAATCACTAAAAACATGCTATTATAGCGATATTAGACGATAGCCACCCTAAACACGAGAATTACATTTCTGTGCACCATGTGCTAGAGAAAATACCATGATGGATTTCTCCATCATAAAGCTCGATGCATCGATTACAAACCCTGACGATGCATATGCATCGATCTTGAAACATTGATTTTTGAATCGAATGAATCGCAATTTCTATAGCGATTCAATGTTTTCAAAATATATACACATTAAATTACTACAAGTACGAATTAATGGAGACCTTGAACAGTGTTCGTGCCCTCGCATTTCTCATTCACGCGCTCCTCTATTTACCGCCTTTGACTGTCACATGATTGTGCTCGCTCTCCGTTCGTCTCACTGACACATTTTTTGAGCAGCTGATGTGTGAACTCTCCTTAGTACTCGTGGCCAGTAATGCTAAAGTGAAGTAGTTTTGCTTTTCTGTAGTTTTTCAATGGCTCTCTCGGTCATACCGACGACATTACCTGAGCAGTCGAAGGCTGCGCATTTATTGCATGGATGGAGCAAAAATGTAAGTGTCTAAAGCATACGCGCAGATCCATTGAATAATAAATGTGTTTTAATAATGTCATTGAACCGAATGTACAAAGAAAACTGTTAAAATAACCACAGCATTAACAACAACCTTGAAATAAGAGCGTGAGACGTGCCAGACTATATCTGCAGCTAAGCTGAATAAAAAGCAGAATAAACTGGTGAAACGGTTAAGACAATAAACACAATAAATAAATTAAATTTATGAATGATGCAGTGCTAATTGACATATCATTTATTACAGTACAGAGACTATAAAGTATATTTTCTACCTTATTCTGTGCAAAAAAATGTAAATAATAGTTTGTAGTATATAAAAAAATCATAAAATTGCAATTAGGAAAAATTATAGATTACAAATGATTGATTATTGTCCAGCAGTGTATTTGATTTTTTATAGCAAATTTAAAGTAAGAGATAAGAAAATAATTCCTTGTAAAAAATAATAATAATACATAGGCTACATACATAAAATTACTGTATTTGACATTTCTGTCACTTCTGAAATGATGGCTCTGGTGTGACAAAATGTTAGCCTATACATAATACTTTTAAAGCTCTTTTTAAAATCTTGGCTTACACAAATTTCTACTTACGCCATGTCATAGCATCAGTAAACTAGCATCTAACAATGGACAAAAGTGTTTTTTTCTCTAACCTATGGGATTCTAACCATAAAGGCTGCTGTGCCGTGTAATTTGCCTCCTGACTAAGCATTTAAAGAATTTAGGGGAAGCACTTAAATAATCCTGTGAATGCACTTAACGAATGCAGAATCGAATCATTAATCGAATCAAATTTAATTGTGAATCGAATCGAATTGAATCGTTTTCAATTTGCAAAAATTGTTCTTGAATCGAATCGAAAACCTATGAATTGTGAATTGAATCGATTCGCTGTCTACCCAAAGATTCACAGCCCTATATAGAATGCAATACAACAATCCACCTGCAGTAAAAATACACAACATAACAGCTATAATGTGTAAATTATAGCATAGAATAACATAGTCCTATTGTTTCGTCTTCCAGCAGACGGATGGCACTTAATTTCCTCAAAAAAAAAAAAACCTGTGCTTTATATTTATTTTCCTCAAGCAGAGTGCATTTTAGCCATATTTGCAATAAAGCACAAACATGATAAGGAAAACTAAAATTAATAAAAAATAAACCATAAATAAAAAAAATATTGTGACATGTTATTCGTCATTAAATACATTTAATTAAATGGCCTTCTCAATTCATTGCATTCAATTTTCAAAAGAGCACACGCACCTGGACCATTCACCCTGACAATTACTATTCCACTGTTTCAGCTACAGAGACCACCATTAACCAAACAGAGGCTGATTACTGTATCTGTGCATAAAACTGACTGAATGAGAGTGGATGACAGCTCATATCTGGTGAATTGTGACGCTGAGGGGGTGTCTCTCGAAAGTGCTCGGGACCCATCTGTTGATGAGAGCTGAGAGCAACACCTCTGAGCACACGCACAGGCACTCACACAAACACAGAGGGAATGGTTTCACTGCCACTCCATCTGGTGTACTCGACCTTCTGTTCACTATATGGCAAAAACAGTCAACAAGGCACAGGGTGTGTATATTATAAAAGAACGGCAATCATACAGATCCCACAAAAGCTACCTGCAACATAGTGTCACATTAGTGAGACAGCAATGTCAGGTGTGAGATAAATGGATGTACAGAGAAACACACACATCATGAACAAACCCTGCATGTGTCTTTACCTCTGAATGAACTCTCTCATGAATACAGGGAAAGGAAAACATACACAGCTTGACATACAACTGAACTCAATGCATCATCAAGCTGACAACATGATGATGCAGTGTTTCCTCAAACCCACGGTTTTCAGACTCTATGGCTTTATGAAGGTACTGTAGAGCATATAAAAAGAAATAAAATATATAGAAAAAATATTTTAAAATAATTTAAATGTTTTTATACCTGTAAATGTAATTAAACATTTTGTGTAGTTTTTAAAAAATATTATAGTTGAAAGTTCTATGGGCTGGATTGAATTTGTTATTGTCTGACTTTTTATTTAACGTGCAACAGTGTGCTGAAACTTACTTATTTCCTCCCATGATGGAGCCTTTAGGGGATCCCTGCCCATAATCCATCTGTAAATCCTGGAACAAAGAGAAAGCAAGTCACATAGTGTATGTCTTCATCTTAAGCTTTAAAATATGCGGAACACAAGTACGTTTACACAGAGCTTTGCTACATTCATGCACACGTCAAAAGATGCATGAAAAGAGAACATGAATGGTAAGATATGCGTAACATGTCCAGCATTTATGAACTCTAGGTTCTTTGTTTGTAATTTATTGCATGGACGGAGCAATAAATACACATGCAGTTTCACAGCGGTTTTGGAATTTTGAGGTCTATTAGTGAGTAAAAACATAATGGAAGTGATGATGAGATGAGCATTCATCTCTATTAGCTCTACGTTAGCAAGCAAGCACACAGCTCTTTCAACAATCATATTTGGATTGGGTTACACTTTACTTGAAGGGGTGTGCATAAGACTGACATGACACCTTCATAATAATGACATGACACCAACATAATCATGACATGACATATGTCATGAATATGAAGGGTTTTTATGCATGTTTATGACAACTGTCATTAAGTGTCATTCGCTCAGTTATGTAATTTTTAATGCAAATATGACATTATTTGACCTAACCCTAACCTAACAGTGTATATTTATAATGTATATATAAATAGAAAACACATGCATGTATATATCTAAGAAAAATATGTTATGTTTATATATTAAATATATTTATATATAATATAAAATATAAGAATATAAATACATAAATGTAAATACATGTTCAATATATATACTGTATGTGTGTGTATTTATATATACATAATAAATATACACAGTATACATACATATATTATGAAAACAAAAACTTTTATTTTTGATTAATCGTTTGACAGCTCTAGTTTTTGCATTCAGTAAAAGTCAGTGGGGTCCAAAACAACACTGACTTTCATTGTATGCACAAAAAAAAAAATCTTTTTTTCGTGTTCAGCAGAAAAAAAATAAATGCATGTATGTTTGAAATGACATGAGAGTAAATGAAGGCAGATTTTTCATTTTTGGGTGAACTTAAAATAATTGTAGTACAATTAAACAAACAAACAGTAATCACATTTTACAGTGTAAAAAGTAAAAATGTATTCACATGGAACAGATTGGATACACCTAGACAGACCGACAATACCGAAAAACTTAAGTTCTCACTTTTTTTTGATGAAATACAATAAAATTTGTTAAGATTGCAGAAGACTGCTGGAAAGGAATTAATTCAAAGTTCTCACAATGTTCTACTCTTAATCAGAGCATTGTGGGAGGACTGGGCCATGTGCCATCTCTCCTCCCACTCGTCAATATGATCATTCAAGCAGGCAATGACTTGAAATAGCTTAGTGTTCATGAATTAATAGAATCATAAAACAGAGGCAGTATCTATAAAACACAGAACCTCAGACATTGAAAATGTGCAATGTGAAGAATATTTTAGGAACATGACGTTATTTTCGACCTAATGTTTATCTGCGGCATGTCGATTATCACAACAATTTCAACGATCCCTCAGTGCATGGAGAAAACGTGTTTACAGTAAATAATCTAATTTTATAATGGAAGCTGGACGGGGAGCTAATGTAATTTCAACACGTCATGACCAGCTGAAACAGTAAACAAGGTTAATTTAACTTGGTATTCGCATGAGAATACCAGGAAAGGACGTGGAAGGGAAGTTATCCGTATATGCATGAACAAACACCTATATCAGTAACAAATAACCACATGTTAGACGACACAGAAATGTTCCACCTAAACCAGATGATTTTAATGTATTTCTTTGTATAAATAATATATGTAAATATATACTGTATTTATCTAAAAAACATCTCTATTATTACTACTGTTATCAAAATTATTAGTGCCACTTTAGTAGGGATCAATTCTCACTATTAACTAGCTGCTTATTAGCATGCCTATCTTTAACATATTGATTGTTCGTTAGGACTTATAAAGCACATATTGTGCATGACCATATTCAACATCCCTAATCCTAACCAATACCTAAACGTAACAACAACCTTACTAACTATTAATAAGTAGCAAATTAGGAGTTTATCGAGGCAAAAGTCGTATTTAATGGTTTGTAAATAGTGAGAATTGGACTGTAAAATAAATATGTGACCATATTATTGATTTAAAATAACTGTATAATGTTTTATTTTTGTAAAATGTACATTAACTGTATATTTTTTTTATGATTTATTCATTAGGTTTTGAATGTTCTAAGAATTTGAATTGAATAAGAAAAAAATGCTGACTTTATATCCAATACACGCACTGAAGCAGTCACAATATTTTAAAGATGAGTTTAAAAAAACAAACTAATCTGGAGTATCCCTTTAAGGGAAACGGTGCGTCTTATTTTTTGAGGGAAGTTGGCTGCAGTGCTTCATCCATTACAGAAAATGTTCAGGCAGAGGATTTTGCTATAATAATCAGGTTACTGATGATTAATCCTGAGGACATTCTCTCTCTCAAACTCTTTCTTTAATTTTTGTCTGTCTCTTTTTGCTGCTTCCACACCTCTATCACTCATTTTCCCCCTCTTCCTCTCTCTCTGGAATACAGCTTTCAGCCAAGCAAAACCTCATTGATTTGGCCCTGCAGATTAACAAACCAAATTTCCTTTGCGCAGCAAACTGTCATATCCTTATTCGCTTGCTGCCTTTCTGCTGATGGGAGGCTTTTCAGTAAGAGTGATGGAGAGAGTAAGGATGGAAGAGTAAAAGAGTAAAAGCTAACAGAACATCCCAGACTATCCGCTTCACTGCTTCTGTCACCGCCTTCTTTTATCTCCCTCCCTTTGGTTTCTTCATAGGCAGTCAAAGCCACCGATTCTAAGCATGTGATTCGCTGTGCCACCTCAGTGCGTGGGCTTCAGACCAGATGGATGAGGTGTCACTCAAGAAAGCCTCAAAAACGCAAAAAGATGAAAAAGGGAAAAACGTTTCTTTTAAGAGGCCTAACCATGTGAGGCTTATAAATTTGGCAAACTATGCAACAACATCCTCCAATAGTTCCTTGTCACTGTCTAATGGCAAAATCTAATAAAAAGCCCAAAATTACAATTAGTATCCACAATCTAAGTAGGATGTGTTACACAGTATCCTAACTACATGCGACACAACAAGATTCCAGCGATAAGCAATTTGGGTGTCCACACTAGATGCGACGCGACAGAATCCATCAAATATCACAGCCAATCAGAAGCATGTGTGGGCGGGCTCTCTCTGAAAGCGCTCTGCACTCACAACGAAATGAATAAGTTTATAATAGAATTCATAAAAATGAAACCTTTTTAAAATTATTGAATGTACATACTGAGTAACTGATACCATCTTTGTTATGGAATATGCGTGTTGGTTCGCATAGAGTTCACAGTTTTAACGTACATCTTTGCTTTAATTTATTTTCAAGATCTGAGGTAAACTATCTGTTGTTGCTTTCAGTATGGCTATAAGGACATGCAAAATGATATTCAAACTCACATTAGACACGTTTAACTTTGAATAAAGCACATAATCACCTGAGATTATCTACTGTCATATAGTTTGTATGTTGTTGTTCCAGCCGCGACGTCGTGGAAATAGAAACCGTTTCTAAAATAGAAATTTCACGTGTCGCCGTCACAGCTAGTTAGGACAAAAACTAACATGGAAAAGATACCATTTATCGCATGTCGCTGCATCGCGTTGTGTGTCGTTAGGACACGGTGTTAGAAGATGTAGATTTATTACGTTTTCAATTTCTACTAATTTTATGTCAAAAGTTTGTTGTAAGTATCCACCTAGTTTGACTTCAAATTATTTTAGTTATAAAACTTTTAAATGCACAATACAAAAAAAATCAGTACTATTTTGCCTTTATATAACATCACCAAAACTGATTTGACGTTATTAAAAAAGAAAAAAAAGGTGGAGAAAAAAAAAATCAAAATATTAAATATTAAATATGCTTAATTCAAAACGTTAACTTTACAAAATATAACATTTACAAAAAATAATATATATAAAATATAATTAAGAATAATTGGAATAAGATGTCAAATTAAAATAAAAGTTTCAAAATATAGATTTTTTTTAAATTTAATATTGTGAATATACTTAATATTAACTTAATTTACTCCACAATAAATATTAAATATCATTAATATCAGATGTTCAATATCAGATTTTTTAGACTTTGATGATAATGAAATTATGCATCAAACACTCTTTGGCACTCGTGACAGCTTTCAAAGACAAATCACAATTCAGTATGCAAATATATGTAAGAAAGAGAGCCAATTGGAATTCAGTACCCAACTATTGTTCAGTACTGTAGGTGTTCACAATAAATTGGTGTTGAAAGGGAGCGGTGAGGTTGTTTCCCTGCTGCAGAATTAGCTGATACCTCAAACAGACCGTGTGTGCTAGGGTTGTTGCGCAAAGCGTTGCTTGCTGAGGCAATGTTTTCCCCTCCACTCACAGACCTGCAGAGCACTTTGGTTTAACTATCCCTGTGGGATATGCACAGGCACTTCAGACTCTTTATTTTGCCTCTCTTTCTTTTCATGTTTTTCCCTATTCACTCCCCTTCTCCGTCCCACTCAACATCCATTCCGTCTGTCTAACCCTAATCTCTCTCTCTCTCCATTCACTCTCGCTCGCTTTAAGATGTGTCTGATTGTGACAAGTCCTAAAAATAAAGCCCCTCAGAGGCCTCGACTACATAAAATGCTTTGCTTTGCAATTTCAAAGTGCTTTTGATTACTGAATAGTGCAGCGACATATAGACTTTGAGGGATATGTCTTTAAATGAAGCTAGAGGCTGAAATACCTAAACAAATGATCCAGCACATATATTTGGCGTGACAGACAGAGGCAATAACACTGATATAATATACAGGCAAGATGAAAAGACAGACTGCCATGATCTAAATAAGATAAGGCAAAATGAATGGCGATTAAATGAACAAAAGAGATTAAAGTCACATATGGGAGGATGAGTACACTACACAAGTGTTACGAAGCGGACATGATGCTAAAAAAAAGATAGGGGACGCGAAGACAAAGAAAGAGTAAAATACACAAAAAAAATACCAGATTAGATCTTGCAGTGTAGTATATTTCTTCGGCACAGTCCAAAAAATCGTCAATGTCGGGCTGTTTATTAGAAGGACCAAGAAACTTTGGTTAATTACACACATACACATGTGATGCCCATGTAGTTTTACAGAAACAAAGACTGATGGGTTAAGGGCGGTTGGGGTGAAGAGGTGTTTGCAAAGGCCATGCCCACCTGAATTCAATAGGTTTTTAAACAGGCCTGTGTGTTAAAGAGGCAGTACATAATTGCTGAAAAGTGGTGTTGCGGTACCATGATCGTTGTGGTAACTTGGGGTTGTGGTAACTTGGGGTTGTGTTAACTTGGGATTGTGGTAACTTGGGGTTACCCAAGTTCTGTAGAGTTACCGAGATCATAATTCTACTCTACTCTATTAATTCTGCTAATACTCTATTAATAAAATACTCTATTAATCTCTATTAATTAATTCTGCTACTACTCTAAAAGTAATTGTTACTCTTTATTTTAATGATTATTTTTAATGATAAGTTATTACTCTGTCACACACATATACATATACATAAATACATACACACACACACATATATATATATACAGTGGGTACGGAAAGTATTCAGACCCCCTTAAATTTTTCACTCTTTGTTATATTGCAGCCATTTGCTAAAATCATTTAAGTTAATTTTTTTCTCTCATTAATGTACACACAGCACCCCATATTGACAGAAAAACACAGAATTGTTGACATTTTTGCAGATTTATTAAAAAAGAAAAACTGAAATATCACATGTTCCTAAGTATTCAGACCCTTTGCTGTGACACTCATATATTTAACTCAGGTGCTGTCCATTTCTTCTGATCATCCTTGAGATGGTTCTACACCTTCATTTGAGTCCAGCTGTGTTTGATTATACTGATTGGACTTGATTAGGAAAGCCCCACACCTGTCTATATAAGACCTTACAGCTCACAGTGCATGTCAGAGCAAATGAGAATCATGAGGTCAAAGCAACTGCCTGAAGAGCAGAGAATTGTGGCAAGGCACAGGTCTGGCCAAGGTTACAAAAAAATTTCTGCTGCACCTAAGGTTCCTAAGAGTATATATATATATATATATATATATATATATGAAGAGTTCAGTTGCTTTAATTTAATTTTCATCTAAAATGAACATTTTTATAAGGCTCCTATGTTTAGGTTCAATAATTTCACCCTAATGGCAATGTATAGGTACTTTTCTATGCAATTAAAGTAAAATAACTGAACATAAATATAGGAGCCCAATAAAAATGCTAATTTTAGAAGACAATTTCAGATGGCACGTAGAGGCTTTTGCATATATATACAGTGGGAAAATATTTATGTGATCCCCTGCTGATTTTGTAAGTTTGCCCACTTACAAAAAGATAAAGGGTCTGTAATTTTTATGGGAGGTTTACTTTAATGTATAGAGACAGAATACCAACCAAAAATCCAGAAAAAAACATCTTTATTATATAAAGGTTAGAAATTGATTTGCATTTCAGTGAGTGAAAAGTATTTGATCCCCAAGCAAAACATGACTTAGTACTTGGTGCAGAAACCCTTGTTGGCAAGCGCAGAGGTAAGACGTTTTTTGTAGTTGGTCACCAGGTTTTCACACATTACAGGAGGGATTTTGGTTCACTCCTCTTTACAGATCATCTCTAAATCCTTAAGGTTTCTTGGCTGTCGTTTGGCAACTCGAAGTTTCAGCTCCTTCCACAGATTTTCGATTGAGGTCTGGAGACTGGATAGGCCACTCCATGACCTTAATGTGCTTCTTCTTGAGCCATTCCTTTGTTGCCTTGGTGGTATGTTTCAGGTTATTGTCATGCTGAAAGACCCATCCATGACCCATCTTCAGTGTTCTGGCTGAGGAAAGGAGGTTCTCGTCCAAGATTTTACAGTACATGGCCCCGTCCATTTGCCCCTCAATGTGGTGAAGTCGTCCTGTACCCTTAGCAGAAAAACAGCCCCAAAGCATAATGTTTCCACCTCCGTGCTTGACTGTAGGGATGGTGTTCTTGGGGTCATAGTCAGCATTTCTCTTCCTCCAAACACGGTGAGTCGAGTTAATGCCAAAGACCTCAATTTTGGTCTCACCTTATCACAGCACTTTCTCCCAAGCCTTCTCTGAATCATTTAGATGTTCTTTGGCAAACTTTAAACGGGCCTGTACATGTGCTTTCTTGAGCAGGGGGACCTTGCGGGAGCTGCGGGATTTCAGTCCACTGACGCGTAGTGTGTTACCAATGTTTTGCTTGGTGACTGTGGTCTCAACTGCTTTAAGATCATTAACAAGCTCCTCCCGTGTCGTTCGGGGCTGATCCCTCACCTTTCTCATGATCATCCTTACCCCATGAGGCAAGATCTTGCACAGAGCTCCAGACCGAGGCCAGCTGATGGTTATTTTGTATTTCTTCCATTTCCGAATAATCGCACCAACTGTTGTCTCCTTCTCACCAAGTTTCTTGCTGATGCTATTGTAGCCCATTCAAGCCTTGTGCAGATCTACAACCTTGTCTCTGGCATCCTTTGACAGCTCTTTGGTCTTGCCCATGGTGGTGGGAGAGGTTGGAATGGAAGATACAGATTGTGTGGACAGATGTCTTACACCTAACGAGCTGACATTAGGAGTAACTTCTTAAAGTGGCAGGATTAATCTGTGTTCCACATGGGCACATAACCAATCTGTGGGAGCCAGAATTCTTGCTGGTTGGTAGAGGATCAAACACTTATTTCACTCACTGAAATACAAATCAATCTCTAACCTTTATATAATTTTTTTTATTTTGTTGGTATTCTGTCTCTATTCGTTAAAATAAACCTACCATAAAAATTACAGACCCTTCATTTCTTTG